TAAATGTCTCCATCTACAGAACAGAAGTTCGGTTGTTTTGTTTTTGAAGACAATAAAACTAAAGCAAGAGTATCAGCCTGTGAAAAAGTCATGCAAATCTTTAGCTTCTCTGTGGTGATTTTATTTTGGGTTCTTTGACCAAAAATAAAAACAAATTTGCAAAATTGCAGCAATTTGTTGACAAACAAACAGTTCAAGTTAAAACAAGCAGAACAGAAGCCAAAAGCAAAAAAGATAAAAGCTTGAACATAATGATAATTTAAAAATCAGCAAAACTGTGGCTAAAAGCTAAGTGTAGCAAAATAGTACCCAAAAGCTAAATGTAGCAAGAATGTAACTAAAATAAGCAAGACTGGAGATAAATGCAGGCTAAGAAGTCAAATAAGAGCAACTGACATAGATTTCTGAGAATAATTTTGAAGGATTTGAATGTACTTCTGGGTAAATTAAGACAAATATTCTAAAAAGTATAAAAGTTACAAATACTAAGCTCATTAATGTCCTGATGGGGTAGAGGCAGGGCAGCCGACTCGAGACCTGACAGTCCCAGGTTCGATCCCCAGCCATTCCCACACGTCGTGGTGTCTTTGAGCAAGACATCTAACCCCAATTGCTCCCTGGGCGCTTGCATAGTTGCCCACTGCTCCACCTGGGTGTACCCAGGTGTGATTGGTTAAATGCAGAGACCAATTTCGACATTGTATGGGAACAAACAATGATGACAACACAACACTTTTTATTATTATTATTATTATCATTAGGTAAATGAATCACAAAAAAGTTAAATCATGTCATCTGGACTGATTCTTATTAAATTTAATGGCTAATGGTTAAAAAAAAGAAGTGTAGTTCTTACCAACTGCTCCATTAAAAAAAACTCAGAAAATGCCACTCATATTAAAAACAAATGAAACATTTTTGTAAAAGTTAAATTAGGGCTTTAGTTATTAATTTTGTGAAAATATACTGTAGACAATTTTAAAGAGTTCACAAATCGGCAATTCCCAACATTCTGCAGAACTCAGTGGCGAAGTGTTGATAAGCTCCTTTGAATCAGGTATTTGTTCTAAAGCATGCAGGACTGCGTATCTCTCGAGGATTGGGGTCAAGAAACACAGTTCTGAAACTCATGTTCTGGCAAAAGCACAGTTAATGTTACAGCGACCAAAACACGTCGCCCAAGTCTGAATATCTTTTCTGTCCACAAATTAGCTACAAGAGGCTGCCTGAGCCACAGAAACCCAATCCTCCGTCTTCTCACACACATAATTTAAACCACTGTGTCTGTGTGATGTGATAACCAGAGACAGCGGAAGCCATTTTTGATTTGCACATTTCTATAAATGATATTACTCACTTTTGGGATTCGTCCATCAACGCCAATTTCAGAAGAGTTTGTGCCCAATGGATGGTTTAAAGTTATTTTAGAAGTTAAAAATAGTCATAATCTACTCCTATAGTTAGTCCATGTCAGGGTATATACTAAATAACATCAGCCTTCAGTCAAAAATTAAAATTTATCCAAGAACAAAAACAGAAAAACTCAATGAAACAGCTCCCTCTGGTGGTAGCAATGTGTCAGGCCATCCAAGCCTTGTTGACCAAAAGTGGAGGATTGAGTTTGTAAATTCAGCAGATAGTACACAATGACCTCTACTGCTGAGTAACTGAATACACACTTTTAAGGGTTTTAAATATTATGACTTAAATCTGTCATTTATTAGTTATATTTGAAGCTTTACATTTACTTTATAATACAATTGTAGTCCCACATTTTACTTATTGTGCCAATGTTTGGGGTACAGCATGTAAATCCACAACAAGGCCTATATTTATTCTGCAAAAAAGAGCAGTAAGAATTATAACAAGAAAGAGTTATTGTCATCCTTCTAATGTTCTGTTTAGTCAATTGAAATTACTTAAGTTTTATGATTTGGTGGATTATAATATTCTTTTACTTATGTTTAAGGCCCATAATTGTTTGCTGCCATCAAACATTCAAACATATTTTGTAAAAAGGACGAGTGGTTATAATCTAAAGGGATCAGAGATCATTGTAAAACCTAAGTACAGAACCAGTTTGAAGGGACGCTCTACGACCATACATGGAATAGGTTTATGGAATAATTTGGAGGATGATGCAAAAATGGAGAAGTCAATGTTTACATTTAAGAAAAAGATAAAAACTATTTTGTTGGAAAAATATAAACTGTTTGTCTAATTATTTTAAATGTAAAATCTGTTTGAGTTATCTACGTTGTTGCAATATTGTGATTGACTTTTTGTTTGAATTGATAGTTAAATTGATCTGTTAAAGAAGGAGCAGATTTGATAAGAATTTTTTTCTTCTTCTGCTTCCTTTCATTTTATGTTTATTTTTTTAAATTATCTAAATTGTATTTGTGTGTTTTTTAATGGAACTGAAATGAATGAAATAAATAAATAAATAAATAAATATTTTACAATACAACCAACTGACCATTGCAGTTATTTCGTGTAAATTTAATTATCTAATATTTCTTTACATTATCAGTTGATATCATCACTGAAAGCTGTTGCAATGAGCTTTACTTAAACAGATAAAAGTTCAAATATCCATGATAATGTGATAAAACAGAAATACTGTATGCTTGTTGTTGCTGAAGAGCCTCTTCAGTAAAGTTAGCAGTTAGCTTGTGAATATGACACATTTGACCTAGCAAAGTATATTTTACAAATCTCAACAACAAAATAAGTCCAACAACAAAAATACAAAACAGAAAGATAAGATCCAAATTTGGTTAGTCAATGTAATAAAAACAGAGCGGAACTAAGTTAATGTTACGCATTAGCTGCTAATTAGCAATAGCTAATGCTATTTAGCTAAAGCTTTTGGAAACTGGTGCTGCACTTCACATATTTTTCATGTTAAATCGTTGATGAAATATATTCAGGTTTAAATAAAGTGTCTGAAATGTGTTTTCAGCTTGCTTTGATGCCTAAAAACGGTCTGAAATGACACAAACTTCAGTGTTTCCGTTTACTTGCCTTGGCAGGGCGCTCTTGACGAAGACGTGTGCTTTGCGCGCGCTGTTCGAGCAAGGGGGCGGGGCAGGTAGGCTTGATGTGTTGCCAGATTGGGCGGTTTACCGCACACTTGGGCGTTTTCATTTTGATTTTTCCGTAAAAAGTGCTTTGGGCAGGTGGAGATAATTTGGGCGGATTTGGAGTCAGATTGGCGGTTTTGGAGTTAACCTATTAAAGCACATTTCAACCAATCATTCATGATTAATGTTTCATAGCAAAGCTACCCTGACCTTTCTCACAAAGGATTGTTCATCAGAATTCAAAGTTCAGCTGTTGAACGTTCCAGCCAATAATCAAATCAAGTTATGTAGAAAAACTTAGCATATGTGTGCGCGCACTGATCGTAGTTTGTGTCTTTGAAATGTGAGGAGAGCAGTCTACGTGGTTGTTATGAATCCACCTGCAAACATGTTAGTATGTGATGTGTCATGTGACACACTGGCTCAGACGATGCTGCGGTGGCTGGTTCAGTCGTTTACAGAGAACAACTCTGGGCAGATTTTTTTTGTTGGATTGTTGCGTTTTGCCACATAGTGTTAAATTACCTTGGCTTGCACTGATGTGCATTCATGTGCAAACAGTAAATATAACAATATATTAATTGGGCGGGTTTTTGTGTGATGTGGTGGTTTTTAACAGATTTTTGGGCTGAAAAACTCAACTACCTGGCAACACTACATGTGGCCTAAAACACTTATTGTCCAGATGATCTGACTGAAAAATGTTGGATTGTATACCTGGATTATTGAGCATGGACTTTGTTGACTTGTTATGCATGATTGTTTTGAAGAATGGTCACATTTTTTGTGTGAATCTAGTTTCTTGGGGTTCCACAGAGGGATGGTTAATTGAAACCCATCAAGGAGGCGCTATTTGTGAGACAGATCTGGGTCAGCAAGCCTGGTTTAGACCGATTAAGTCTTTCAGATTAAAGACGAAACGTTTCTCCCTTCGAGAAACTTGTCCAGATTACATGATTTAACATTTTGTGATTTAGCCACCTGAACGATTGAGTTTACAACCCTTTTTCTTTTTGTGCGATGAGAATATCAGGTATGATTTCAAGTGTATGACGGGCACAGCTTTATAGTATTTGTTTTCGGCATTGCATACAATTTTCTCTGCAGTTAACCCAAGCTCAGTGATGGAGGACTTTAAGGCTTTGGCTGGGCTCTGTGTCTGCTTTAAGATAAATAAGATCGTGTCCCACCCCTTAAAACTTTTTGAAGTAAACTTAGTTCACCATTTTAGGACTAGCTAGCCAAGTTTTGCTTATCTCAGCTAAATGATGAAACGAGGGTTAAGTACGGTAATTTTTTTTCTTAAACATTGATTTACCAAGCTGAACAAACATGAAACAAACACATGACACAGTCCAAGTTAATGATGAATTTTAATGATTTATAGACTTCATATCAAAGTCAACAACATCAAACTTTAAAGGGTAATAATGCTGCGTATACACATTATTTTTTAAATGTATTTTCTTCAATACAGTCAAAGTACATTGGCTCTACCGTCCATAAATATTATACAAAAATATTTTGTTGTAAAAACATCCTCTAGCCAATGGTAGAGTCCAAAAAAACATTGTTAGTGTAAATACAATATGGACTTCTAATAAAATAACTTAAATAGAATAAATGAGTTAATGGTAGTGTTCTTAAATATTAAAAAAGAAGTCTATTCAAGTGGCAGGATAAATTCAGGAGCAGGAAATGGCTGGTGCATTGCAACAAAATGCAACGCTGTTTCGGAGGCAGATTTTTTATTCTTTTCCAAAAGAATTGTGTTCTTTGTCCGTTTTACTCAAACTATGAGAAAAACTGCTGAAGTTTAAAAAGCATCTGCCTTTTATCAACGTGCATGACGGTTTGACGTTTTCTGCTTCAGCCACATTCACAGTTTGTAATGGCAAGATGCTCTCCACTGGATGGAGCTCTCTCCATGTAGGCGGCATCAGTCTCCATGTTCAGGCTCAGTTCGGCGTTTTGTGCCGCCGTCGTTCCTCACAGCCGACACGTCTGATATTTACCGTGCGACGAGTGGGTCAGCTCGTAGAAAAGGACGTAGGCGTCGCTGCTGCGCACCTGGCTGGAAGACATCGGACTCACCCTGTCAAGAACACACAGAACTATTTACACGTTCAAATCTTGGGGTTTAAAATGCACTAAAACAGAATTTGTTTGTATAATCTGAACTACGACAAGTAGAGTCCATTTGACAGCAGGTGCATGCTGCCAGCTTTCAGCCAATCTGATAAGATGATACGTTAAAGTAACTTGATGACGTTGAGACCCGATACCTGGAGTCATTGTAGCTGTACCACTCCCCCAGTGCCGGGTTCCTGCAGTAGGCCGTGTAATGGCCTCCCAGGGTGTTTCCAGTGTGGTTGGATACAGCGTACAGGTTATACACGGGACGCTCTGTGGGGAGAGACGACACGACGGTCATTCAGTGTTCACCCATCGTGTGGGGGAGTGTGGTGGGGGGGCCAAGTGAACGATACTCACCGCTGCTCACTGCTGAAAACTCGCGCATCTCCAGGTCTTTGAGAGGAAAGTTGACGTAAGTGGAAAGTTTGCTCGTTCGAGAGTCTGAGAAACGCTTCAGGTCTTGGAGGTGAAAACAACAAGTTAAGGAGCAGATACCGGGTCAAAATGACAGGATGTGTTCCGACACATTCATACACGACCTGAATTTAAAGGGAGCTGCAACTAGTTGAAGCAACAGATCTTATTGGATAAACAATTACTTCAGCTACACCATTAAATACTGTAGGTTGTTTATTTTTATTTAAAACAAATTTAAATTAATGACACATGGACATAGCCATTTAATTTACGTTGCAATGCATTCTGGGTAAATGACATTGACAGGTTGCTCCGGTGCAAGCTTCATTCAACTTGAATGTTAATTGTGGACATCGTCTGATGTTCAGTCATTTAATATGAACTGGAGCACAATGACAGAGAGGAGAATGGAGAAATAACTCAGCTTTCACATTAGCCCCTGGGCTAATATCTAAGACGTTAGCCCCAGAGCTACTATGTATGTAGGACGTTAGCCCCAGGGCTAATATCTAAGGCGTTAGC